ACCCCCATCCCAGTCCCTGGTGCCAGCTCAGGGGTCACAGACTCCAGAGAGCAGCCCCCCAGCCCCACTGCCTGTCTTCAGGAGCATCAGGTGCCAGCTTGCTTTGTTGGAGCTGCCAGATGACTGTGGGCGGCAGCCCCGTGCCGCCGTACCCTCCAAGAGCTCCCCTAGGAACATCCCAAGCCGGGGGCTGTCGGTGCCGCTGGGGCAGCGGGAGCACGCCTGGCTAGTGGCCGTGTCAGCAGGGTGCTGGGCACGGGTGCGGGGACTCTTCCTGGAAGAGCCAGAGCTGGCCCTCCAGCGGGACTTCATGTCGGGTTTCACAGTCCTGCACTGGCTGGCCAAGCACGGCGACGGGCCGGGCCTGCAGGAGCTGGCGGCAGCGGCACGGCAGGCTGGGCTGTCTCTGGATGTGGATGCCCGTTCGGGCTGCGGGTACACTCCCCTGCACCTGGCTGCCATACATGGCCACCAGCTTGTCATCAAGGTGCTGGTGCTGCAGATGGGGTGCCAGGTGCAGGTGAGGGACAGTAGCGGGCGCCGGCCCTGGGAGTACCTGGGCAGCTCCACCTCGGGGGAGATCTGGCAGCTCCTGGAGGCACCCCGAGGCACGATTATGTTCCCCACACAGCCCCTGGCCTGCAATGTACCCTCTGTCACCAAGGTCTCGCCGTCTGCTGGCAGGGCAGCACTGCCTGCCTGCCTCAGGCCGCAGCACAGCCGCGGGGCATCATCCCACCGAACCGGCAGCAAGAGTGACTGAGAGACAGCTCCCTGGCATCCCTTGCCAGTGGAGATGGGACTCTGGTGGCCATCCCACAAGAGGAAGCCAGGCCAGCAGAAACAAAGCTGTGAAACAGACTGAACCTATTGAAGAATGTACTTTTAAATTAATGCAATGAACCATTTTCTGAGCCTCTCTGCCCTCCCTCCTGTTACTCTTTTCTACCAGTGAGAGGACGCAACCACTCTGCTGGAAGCTGGCAGAACCCTTGGTAGGCAAGTCCTACCCCACAGGGCAAGCACCAGTTGCTGGGTGCAGCCACACTCACCAGCATTAGTGGGACGATGGGTTTGGGGTCTCAGACTCAGGTGTGAAGCTCACAGCCTGGTCCCAACCAGGGTGGAGTGCTTGCTTTTGCTTACAACAACAGATTGTCCTGGGGTTTGCAAAACACTTGTTTACACCGCCTAAATTCTGGGGAGTAGCTATAACTGCATCCCTTTTAATCCCAGCAGATTAAGGATGAGTCCTGCTTTTAAAAATGCAGCTGATCAAGGTCCAGCCTTCCAGCAAGAGACCTCAGGGAGTGACTGGCTGTGGCAGAGGGCGGCAGCAGGACAGCCCTGAGTAGAGAAGGTGTAATACACCCACCTCATTTCTCAGCCTGCCTTGCCCACCAGCCTTCCTGCAGGAATCTGTGCTGGGCAGGAAACGAGCTGTGCTGCAGTATGGGTCCCAAGCTTGTAGGGGGAAGGCAGTTTCATAACCAGAACTGCATTTCCCCAGAGACCCCAGCCCTAAATTGCCTCAGAAGTGTTTATGTGATGGGAGCGGGTGGGATTGGGGGTCCAGGTGCAGGGAAGAGATGTCCAGTGCCATCATTCCTGAGAGTTTACAAATAACAAGCTGGCTTTAGGAATCTCACTGGATTACATGGGTCTTGCAATATACTCTGCTCTCTGATTTAGCATAAACGAGCTTCTAAACAGTCAAAAACTGCAACAGGTTAATCTTGCACCTAATCTGGTTCTCCTATAGATCACAGAATCACAGAATGTTAACTAGGATACCTGCAACAAGGGTACATCACTGCCTGGCTGATGCTCCTGCCGCTGGGTGACCCCAGCTATAGGACCAGTGGGTGTTGGTGCCTGTGCCTCAGCGGGACGCTTTGGGACACACCAGTGCAGGAGGTGGGACTGCTCATCTATTTGAGGCAGGTGCCTAAATGCCTGCAGTTTCGGGGAGGAACGGGAATCAGGGCAGCAGAACCTGACCCTTGCATAACATGCGTGCTGGGGAATGCCTCAAGTCCTTGCTCAAGCACTAATTGAAGTTTCCACTTTGCTCGGGGTTTATTTGCGGGAGAAAATCTCCTGCAGAAGGGAAGCTGCTCCGCCTGTCTGTGGCCACAAAAGGTTGTGGTTTTTTCCCAGCCTGGTTTTCTCCTTTCACAGGGGAAAGAGCTCAGTAAACCAAGGCAGTGTCCTGTGAACCATCATTCCTCCCTGAAAGGCCAAGACAAGCTTGAACTCATAAGAAATTCAAGTCTGATGTGGTGTCTGAGCCTTGCACGGACACCTGGAGGGCTCTCCAGGACTCCTCCACAGCAGGAGGAACCCCACGTATCTCCCTCCCTCTTGGATCCAGCTGGGGGTTACAGCCTAGATCAGCACAAACACCTAAACTGGCTGCTGCCTGGTAAAACACTCAAGTCTTTTCCAGTACATTCAGAGCCATTGCCAAAATTAATATCATGCACCAGGCTCCCTTGGGAAAGGGCTTGCTAAAGCCTCCCATGAGCCTCGACCAGAAGCTCTCAAAAGCAACCTGTTGACAGTGAGTATCGGGGATACCACCAGAGCCTTTGCACACAGCAAGCTTTGGGGAAGAACCTCAAATGAAAGAAGTCTGTGAGCTGACTAAAACTCTCTGGTGAGGAGCGTACTTTTACTCCACTACAGCTTCCAAAGAACAAGCTTTTCCCCTTGCTATCTCCAGGCTTGCAAAGACAAAGACTAAGGACAGTGCTACCTTGGGATTCTCATTTTACAGCCTGGCCATGACCTTTCTCCGTGACGCAAATCTAAGCAGTGCTTTTCTATTTTCTTTCTGCACGCTGTTGCAGACCTTGTCTGTCATCTTTTTCAGAGCAGTTCTCATTCCCTAGCAGTATTTAGTTCAGCAGTCTAACAACGAGCTGTGAAATAATTTTGTGACCACTATTTGCTTGCCTGTTGACACAAACAAGCTGCTTTCTTCAATTTTTAAATTACAAAGCAACTCTTAGGAAGTCTGAAACTGCAAAAAAACCTTTCCTTACTAGACCCAGTGTGCATTCACTCTGATTTATCACCCCAGGATTACTTAGGAGTTCTTGGACTGATAACATTGGTAATACTGCATAGCTCCTACACAACACTTTTTAAAAGCAGTCAGTTACTGCTTGTGGAAATAACCACTCCTATAACCCACAGAAAAACTCATCCTCCAAGTTTTCCACTGGTGAAATAAGCAATGGACAGGGTGAAACCCATCTCCAGCCCATTGTGGAAGGCAAGGCCAGATCTTTCATCAGCCATGCCTGGAGAAGTCACACTGCCACCCTAGAGCATCAGGCAGGCAGGGTGATATAGACATTGTAGGTCCAGTGCCCCAGGAAAAATCCACCCCTGGATACACACACATGCAGCCTGAGCATCTCCATTTCAAAGCGTTCCTGACCTCCTTGCTACTTACTTGTCAGCCTGCCTGGCCCCTTCCACACCCGTGCACGCCACTGTTTCCTCATTGCAGGTGGACGTGGCTCCTCGCCTCACACCCAATCCAGGCATCTGATTTTACACCACCCTGAAACACAGGACATGTCATAGATTAACACACAGCAGGACTCTGCTCTATCATTGCTTTTGAAAACACACCTCCCACTTGACGGCTGCTGATGATAAAGTCCACCTCTCTGCTCTCCAATGATTATCTCTAACCACTGCTTTGTACTCTGAAAGCCACGTCCTTCAAAGGAGCAGGGTGTTTTTTCACGCAGTAGCCTTTGCCCATGGTATAGAGTCAAGCCTGAGAAGTCCCAGCCTGACAAAGCTCTGGTAAAGGTAACCCCCTTCTCCTGAGGCACAGGCTTTCACACCCACTCATTAGCCTGCTAAAAGCAGACAGCACAGCAGAGCTGGGTGTTCATCTTGATTTATGGAGCTTCTGTTAAGGTCTTAATTATATTCCCAAATTGTGGCCCTGATTAGATTGATGCTGCAGCCTTTACTAACAAATTGCACAGGTGAGCTGGCAGTCTGATGCTGTGGCTCAGTTATTAATGAAGTGTCTTTGTTAGTCACCAACTGTCCTTTGCCTATAGGGTCTTTGTCACTTCAGCCCAATAGAAGGGCTTTCCAGAGCACAGGAGTTTGCCAGACTAGCACTTAAACTAGCAATCATTTATGTCGAGTGGGGTACGCTCAGCACGGAAGGGAGAGTGGGTGAATTTGAGTCCAATTTTGTGGCAGAGCTATTCTTTCAAGATATGAAGCTCCTCCCACCCAACAAATCAAAGCTTTCCATCTGAGAGGAGCTCCCCATCTACAAACACACCAAATGCATGCTACTCTTCCCCATCTCAGAGCAGCAAGTCGGTAACAAACAGCCATGTCTCAGCTTTGGTTGTTCACAAGCCTCTGGGCAAGGGCCAAATGCTAGAACACCAGTGGGATCCCAGCTGAAATAACTCAAGAGGCTTTCATGCAACTAAAAAAGCTTTCTTGGGCAAAGCAGGTAAACACCACAGCAGAACACTGCTAACTAAAGGCAATGGCCAGGACATCCTTTGTATCACAGCACTCTCCAAAGCAGTGAGAAACAGAACTTGTAGCATTACAAAAACCCAACCCCAACGACACCGTTTTCCACCATGACAAATGCCATTTGACTTATATAGTTTGCAGACAATTCCACAGCGAGAAGAATGTTTTCCACACTTTTAACAAGTAATGAGAAACCCAGTTACAACTAAACTTTGCTAAAGCTACAACTTCTGATAACTACATTTACTGCAAGTAGTACCAGATGGCAGACTAGCAGGATGGGTTTTACAAGAAGAAAGACCACCAATTAACTGTACAACTTTCTCCAGCCTAAGCTGCCCCCTTAAAATGAGAATTCTTAACCCTTCAGGGGAAAAAAAAAGTATTGTCTTTGGAAACTGAATCCCACTGGAAAACATTAAAAGTTGAATTCTCACTTCACCTAAATTAATATCCCTCATCCCCAACATGAGACTATTTAAGCAAACAAAACTTTTTTTACCATTAATAAAAAGAGACAAAAAAAAATTAAGATGTCAACTTAAATTATTCCAGCAAAAATAGTGAACAAAAATACACCACAACAAGCTACCAAAACACTTTATTTTCAACACAAAACTTCTTTTACCATTAATAAAAAGAGACAAAAAAAATTAAGATGTCAGCTTAAATTATTCCAGCAAAAATAGTGAACAATAATACACCAAAACAAGCTACCAAAACACTTTATTTTCAACATATGTGAAAAACTAAATTGTTTAGCTTCAAAAAAAAAAAAAAACATTGAAAGAAACAATACAAGTCTCATCTTAAAAACTTCTAAAAGTATGCAAGAAAGTTTTTGCCTAGCCTACAAACTCCCAACCAGAGCTATAACACCCACACCTGAAAAAAATAATGGCTCATATCCCCTTATATAATCTCAGTGCTGGGTGAGAACTGCTTAAAAGGAGGGTGGGAAGGGCTTTGTTCTTCTTACACATGGTGGTTTCCTTTGGAGGCTAGAGTCTTGGTGGTGCTTCCTTGGAGAACAGCAGTACAGCAAATTAAGAAGAAAGAAAAACTAGGTGATATTCTGGATATTATTTTGTAACTGAGGAGTTACGGTTGTGTTTTAGCTATTCTAATTTAAAAAGAAAAACTCCAAAACTAATAGTTTTTTGTTTAAAAAAGGGAAAGATTAAAAAGGATAAATGTGGGGGTAGGAATCTTTTAATGCAAAACATTTAA